CGGGATGTCAAGTTTGCCTGATCCCAGATTATTGGAGACGCTGTCAAATGAACATAGAGATCATTTTAATCTCTAATGTAGCAGATCACATCACCTGAAATTAGGGTTACAATTTGTATTGCATGTTTTACCTTTATCTCATCATATCCGTAATGGATTCATATAATAAACATAATAAACATGCTACATGAAAATAAACCCCCTAAAAGCTATCAGATAATTAAAGTCAAAATCACGTGATCAATTAGGGCATTAAGCTCTGTGTTTATGTACTTTACATTAAATTATTTCTTGTACAATTCAATGTTAAAAAAGTGGCATTGATTTATACATGTAACAGTGCAAACAAATAAAAACAATGATTGCTTATTCAGCATGCTGAAAATGATGTTGCTATTTATACAAACTAAACGATGCATACATAGAAATTCGCTTGATAGAAGGAGAAGTTATGTTATGCCCGCTCTCAGGATATAATGGCTGTACATTTATGTTATGTGTACTAGCATCAGTTCGTTAATTGTTAACTTAACACATATTTATATATGATATATATACTCCACCCTGAGCCTAGTTAGACTTTACATATTTATATATGATATATATACTCCACACTGAGCCTAGTTAGACTTTACATATTTATATATGATTTATACACTCCACCCTGAGCCTAGTTAGACTTTACATATTTATATATGATATATACACTCCACACTGAGCCTAGTTAGACTTTACATACTTATATGTGATATATATACTCCACCCTGAGCCTAGTTAGACTTTACATATTTATATGTGAAATATATACTCCACCCTGAGCCAAGTTAGACTTTACATATTTATATGTGATATATATACTCCACCCTGAACCTAGTTAGACTTTACATATTAATATATGATTTATACACTCCACCCTTAGCCTAGTTAGACTTTACATATTTATATATGATATATATACTCCACCCTGAGCCAAGTTACACTTTACATATTTATATATGATATATATACTCCACCCTGAGCCTAGTTAGACTTTACATATTTGTATATGATATATATACTCCACCATGAGCCTAGTTAGACTTTATGTATTTGTAAAATATATATACTCCACCCTGAGCCAAGTTAGACTTTACATATTTTTATATGATATATATACACCAAACTGAGTCTAGATAGACTTTACATATTTATATGTGATATATATACTCCACCCTGAGCCTAGTTAGACTTTACGTATTTGTAAAATATATATACTCCACCCTGAGCCTAGTTAGACTTTACAGGTTTATGTATATATAATTACTAAACCTTTGGCCTTGAAAACTGTGTGTATAGTTAAATCCCAGACAATATACAGCTACTATGTGTATGTTCCCACATACCCAACAAAGGTAAGGTAAATCGTGTTATTGATGTCACACTCCAATTACTACACGTGATCGACTCGGGGACATGGTTTCCAGGTCAAATCTCTTACACAATTTTACTGTCGAGGTGCGAGTTTAAAGCTATGATTTGGGTTACGAATGCATCATACATGTAAAAATATTAAAACATTACGTAGAGGGGGTCTTTATTTACGGCATGCTACCGCCAAAAGAAAAACCCTCGTGCAGTTATATTGCAGTATGTATTCATTTTGTGAGATAAATGTTAATATGGAACTGTCCTCCGCCATCTTGAAAATTGGAAATTGAAATATGTTTTGTGTACTATGTATACATTAACCTATATGCTGTATTGCATTTGGGAATAAAAAAAATTGAAACAATAGCACCAACGCCATAAATACCCGAGTCGTTGGCCTGAGCTAATCATATCGATAAAGGAGCACGCCTTTGCCAACATTGTACACAGTACTGTACTGGGTTTAGTATGCTGACAAACATTGTACACAGTACGGTACTGGGGTTAGTATGCTGACATACATTGTACACAGTACTGTACTGGGATTAGTATGCTGACATTCATTGTACACAGTACTGTACTGGGTCAAGAATGCTAGCATACATTGTACACAGTACTGTACTGGGTTTAGTATGCTGACATACATTGTACACAGTACTTTACTGGGGTTAGTATGCTAGCGTACGTTGTTCATAGTACTTTACTGGGGTTTGTATGCTAGCAACCATTGTACACAGTACTGTACTGGGTTAAGAATGCTAATATACATTGTACACAGTACTGTACTGGGTTAAGAGTGCTGACATACATTGTACACAGTTCTGTACTGGGTTAAGATTGCTGACATACATTGTACACAGAACTGTACTGGGGTTAGTATGCTGACATACATTGTACACAGTACTGTACTGGGTTAAGAATGCTAGCATGCATTGTACACAGTACTGTACTGGGTTAAGTATGCTGACATACATTGTACACAGTACTGTTCTGGGTTAAGATTGCTGACATACATTGTACACAGTACTGTTCTGGATTTAATATGCTGACATACATTGTACACATTACATTACTGTACTGGGTTAAAAATGCTAGCATACATTGTACACAGTACTGTACTGGGTTTAATATACTGACATACATTGTACACAGTACGTAATGGGGTTAGTATGCTGACATACATTGTGCATAGTACTGTACTGGGGTTAGTATGCTAGCATACATTGTACACAGTACTGTACTGGGTTTAATATGCTGACATACATTGTGCATAGTACTGTACTGGGTTTAATATGCTGACATACATTGCGCATATTACTGTATAGGGGTTAGTTTGCTGACATACATTGTACACAGTACTGTACCTGGTTTAATATGCTGACATACATTGTACACAGTACTGTACTGGGGTTAGTATGCTGACATACATTGTACACAGTACTGTACTGGGTTTAGTATGCTGACATACATTGTACACAGTACTGTACTGGGGTTAGTATGCTAGCGTACGTTGTTCATAGTACTTTACTGGGGTTTGTATGCTCGCAACCATTGTACACGGTACTGTACTGGGGTTAGTACGCTGACATACATTGTACAAAGTACTGTACTGGGTTAAGTATGCTAGCATACACTGTACACAATACTGTACTGTAGCCACTTTGGTAGAGTGACTTATATATTGATGATATTTAGTTTGTATTGTGTTCATTGTACCTATATTAAATCCTACCGAGCGAATATACAGCTACAAATTAATACAGACCCGGTTTTCACGTAATGTAATAAATAAATGACACATGTTTATAAAACACATCTGTAACTGGTACAGTGGTTATATATGTACGTTGGTTACTCATACGGTGTCTATTGAAAACGAGACCAGCTATAACGACAGCAGAACACATGAGATTTACAAAGTTGTTTTAATCACTTAAGAAAATCTCAAGACCCATACTGAACTTACTCAACTCGATAGCAAGTAGGAAGTGGTATATTCAGGAACATCCCGTCCAGCTGTATTTGTTCTAATTGTGTGCCCTACTACATAACATCTCAGTACCATCTACTGATGGCGTTGTAATGATAAAATTGAACAGGTTAGGTTAAAAAGGGAAACCTTCTAATTGAATGTCAGCCTTTAAGGTCGCCTTACGACCAGAATGTATACAAATTATAACGTGACGTCATGTAAGGTTATAATATTGTCTTATTTATATAGTCGGGGTTAAATGTGGTCGCCTTGATCTTTGTGTGTAATTTTATATTTTACTTTTATGGCTGGTGTCTTTTCTATTTAAGATGCATACGTCATGGTCTGGGCTCTAACATAAAATATTTACAGCATGTCAATGAGCGTTAGGTGTAACTCCAAGTTGCATAACAGATCAGCAGGTAGATTATATCAATGAGACAGTTAACCACTATAACATACCACTGTATATCTCGTTCTAAGTACGTTATACATTCTTACGTTACCTAATTCAAGCTATACTTAGATAATTTTATATATTATAATGATATGCAAGCTATACCAAGTAAATTCGTATTATCATTATTATATTCAAATGCTATTGAAGCTATCCATTATAAAATAGTATTTTTTCATATTTCAATTCTCAAGACGCTTAATTTATATGTGAAAATGTTGACATCGATGTACTTTCATTAATTTGTAATGGTGTACAACTTCTATCAACTACAATATCATATTTGATTATGTTTTCTGACAGTGAAATCATGGTGATGTTAAATGAGTGGTTGGCCTTCAAATGATTGATGATAAAATATCGAGATGTTTTTTATCTAATGTAAGTAAAAACGAATATAACCTCAGAAATGAAAATAATTTGTATCTCGGAAGGACAAGAAGTCAATAGCTCATTCCATACAGAGGTCCCTATGGATATATGACTATTGTATGAAAACATGATATTTCGAAACGCTATTGCAAGCTATAATAACGGCTTACAAAATATGCATAAATATAGTTTACGATGTTAAAGAGAAAATAATGTGTAACCCATCCACTATTGATTCCCTATATTGTTTCGGTTAGGATATCCTCAATCAAGAGGTTATCGATCTCAGTAAAATGTGCAACCGTGGGTTGGGGTAGAGAGGCCATTGTAACATGTCTGGCAGAAGAGGCCTCTGTTGCATGAAGTATATATAGAGGGATATGGATGTGTTAATGCCTAAGTTAGGTGGAGTGACGAGAGGAGGATTGACAGACCTAAATAAAGTAGCTAAAGTCAATGAGGACGTACAATCGTAATTAACATTATATGATTTAAAGGAGGTGGTGATTTATGCATATTTATGAGGAAGCGGAGGGCTGTGCTGTCGTAATCGTTCAAATCAGGAAATTGATGTGGAATATCCTTATGAACGTGTTAACCCATGTGTAACAACGTTGGATAGTAATGTCGTCGAACTGTTCAATTATATAAGGATAGAGTTAGACAATATATAATTTCAGTCACAATATTCTATTATATCTAATGACAAAGTTTGACAGGAACAGCAGTAACAATGCTCTACAATACGTTCATGACGCTAGAAAAAAAACTGTTATAGAAAAAATAACATACCTGTGTCCGCTTGATACCGACACTATGATAGCTGCCATTGCCAGCATCAGCAGCAGGTATTTCCCGCCACCCATGTTTACCAAGGACAAGCGGTACAGCTGTACCGACAATCAGTCCACCAAACGTCCCTCTGACAATGTATTGACACAACTGTGTATATATGTGTATGTTTTGTGTTTATTGACATGCGCACACCAGTTTTACCTGAAAAGAGACTACAGCTTACCACGCATTGTCGAGTAAACCTAACATGGGCGAATTAAAACTGGGGATATTCTATTCTACTGGTAAATAGATTCCTCTAGGTTTTCAAACATTGAGTTCAATTGTTGACAATTTTTCATTAAATCGCATGCTTTGATCAGTACTTTGAAGTTATGTTACCATGTAATGTTGTTACAACTCATAACGAGGTGTTTACAGTGTTTGTCTGTTCAATAGGAAAACGTCCCCACGATCATATTAAATTGGTACTCGTACATATGCCATATATATAGAGAGAAAGCTGTGCTCATCTCACTGAACGACCACCCTGATAGTTACTACATGTCTTTACATGTATACACGTACTTTCTTCTTCTTCTTCTTTTATGGCAGATTATACTAAGGCAAAATTGAATGCATATTTAAGTTCAACATTTCTATATATTTGACCATTTTTTGCCATATTGTTACATTGCTAAAAATGTACGCGTGCAATGTTTCCGTGTGATTTGATGTATGTAATGCACATACGTTTGTTAAACTGTTCGGTAGATATTGGTATTTTATTCCAGTGTTCAATAGATATTTTCTTTTATGTAAGGTTCAATATATGGGTATTTTGTTCTTATGTTTCCACATTGATAACATAGCTCTCTGATTTGGTGTGTTGTTTGACAAATGTAGGTAGCTTGCTCTAATATCTAAGTATCTAAATACATGGTGACATCCATGAATGTCTTGGTCTATATTGTTGTCAAACATTTTATTGAATTTGAATATTTCTTTTTTGGATCCTACACATTTTTATTAGATTTTTCTCATTTTCTAATAAAACTGTTTGTCGTATCGGGTATTGGTCGGCTTGTCATGTGGGTCCAGCTCAGAATTGTGTGCGTGATGGACGATTTGTCTGGGCTGGTCTCCAATTCATGTTTGACCGAACGGCCGTTATTTGTAGCAACCACTCCATATGACTTAAAACAATTGGTGATTCAATAATATCTATAATTTCATATTAATGCTTCTTTAATTTTATATAAGGCTGTATATTTCTACTTCATTATATGTATGCACTGTTTATATTTTAGGAGATGGCTTTTATAGGCTTTGCCTGTTGCCAAATTCCTTTTGCATGCAAGAGCTATACAATAAACTATTCTGAAATGGAAAAGAATATGCCTATGATGTGGGTATCTTATATCTACTGCCAAATAGCTCTGATTACTATGATGCGAATATCTAATGATTAATGTAAACATAGGTAGGTATGGTGGCTAGGAAAATTCTACCCTGTTTCAGGAAATTAAGATCATAACAGAGGCTTTGGCGAGGTTCATAGACTCAATCCTAAAACGCCGGGTAGAACTTCCGTAATCCACATACCTTTATAATGATTGGCTCTTTTTTCAAATTTCCTAACCGGGAATTCGGAAGAAATCGATAATGACTTTGGAAATATAACAGTTAGATTTTCTAGATACCGGACAAGTTATTCAAGAGAATAATTGGAAAAAGAAGTCTGGTATACCGGGTTTGAAATTAATAGGGTTTGGAAAAGTTACACAATAAGAAGTTTGTTTAATAAATATTTCCTTGCAGTGACGTAGATGTCGACTGTGTTTTGTTTTTCTTCTGCCGATCAAAATGTCGATTGTATGGAACGCCAAATTAACATATATTCAATTAATTTTACCTATCTTCAAATAATTGAAGATAGGTACAATACATTGAAGATATGCTCAATTTTCAATTATATCTATCTTTAAATAATTAAAGATAAATACAATTATTTGTACCTATCTCCAATTGAATTGTACATATCTTCAATTGAATTGAACCTAGGTACAAATACAACATATCCTCAATTAAATTGAACCTATCTCCAGTTGAATTGAACCTATCTTCAATTATTTGAAGATATTTACAATTAATTGAATATAGGTACATTTCAATTTGAGATAGGTACAATTCAATTGAAAATAGGTTTAATTCAATTGAAGATATATTTAATTCGTCATATTTGAACCTACCTATCTTCAATTGAATTGCGCCTATCTTCAATTGAATTATATATTTCTTCAATCCGTTGAAGACAGGTGCATTTTTTTTAATATATGTTAATTTGGCGTTCCATACAATTAAAAGAGTTGTAAGTAAAGGAACGTTTGGAGAATGGTACAACAGATATAATCCAGTACGCCGACACAGCATCCCTTCTTTCGCATTTAGAGTGACATTGTGATAAATGTGCTTGTTATCGAATTTTTATTTGGTGCTTTGCCAGGATTTCTTAAAATTATGGACTTATCTGTGTTTTTTATGGACTTTCCAATATTTCACCTTTAGTAAGTTAGTGCTATTATATTAGTTTTATATCATGTATCTGTGTGCATGTGGGCATTTTATGAATATGATTGATTTGATCAACCAGTGCTAAGTATTCCATGTGCACATGTAATTAATTCGTTTTATTTATTTTCATTCCAAGTTTTGCATCAGTTTTTGCATATTTAATAATGTAATACATGATCTCTGTCTTTACTGATTATATTTGTCATAAATTGCTTGCTATATATAGTTCTATTTTATGAAAGATTTATATAACATACATGTAAATGTATAGTAAAAATGTATAAAATTGATTTAATATGAAATTAATAAAAGCGGGTTTTCAGTTAATGTATGTTGATGTGTTTTTATTAAATAATAACTGGAATCTTGTATATATTTATTCATAAATCAGGAAATATATTTGTTAAATATTCCTATAACTAACACAGTATATTTCCTATTGGTGAACAGGTAAATACAGGTAAATAATCCACCTGTACTATACCAGAACAAACTATAATGACACTTCTATTGTTTTCCAGTGTTTATATAATTCCTTTGATCAGAAAAAAAGTGGGAGAAAGGAGAACAAACCGTACAAAAGCGGTCTTGTATCACATCAAAATAACGTCAAATGATAGAGTGTCAGCCGATATGGTACAGAACATTTTGAACACAAAACGTTTGTGGGATAAAGTTTTCTCACATGGGTGTCCCATGGTGGGTGTCCCATGGTGGGTGTCCTCGTGGGACACGTGTACTTTACCAACGCAGAGTGGGAGAAATGGCATGGTATATGGATACAATGATCTGATATCCTTTTATTTGCGTGCCTTTTGGTATGATGCGACAGCTAATGGTAACAATGTTCTATATGCTAGAGTATATAGGTTTATACATATTGAAATTGCCATATTGATCGGCATGTAGATATGAAAAACTAACTTACCATACAAACAAAAAGCCGTCCCTGCTCGTCATGTTGCAAGTAAATAGAGGTAAAAAGCTAATGTAGAAGAGTCTGTAGCGTGCTTGATTTCAAGTTCAGTAGGGTATATACGATCGACGAGGTCAATATATTTCGGATTTATCAGAAACTGAAATTAAATAGACTTTATTGACAAGGATTTTCATCAGAGTTATTTCTGTTGTTAACTAGAAAATCCATCGTTGTCACAACGTTATCCAATGGTGGGGGTTGTATATTTTCTACATTGTATTACTATTCAGTTCGCTTTAACCCAATAAACCTGATCACAAGCGTGGTTCCAGCTCATTTTTTGTGAATTTGAAAAACAAAAGCATTGAAGTATCCGCCTGCTAAAACTGTATGCAATACGGTTTGGTTTGGTTTAGTATTGTCGTTTAAGGACGGCCTCCCCTGTGTGCAAGATGCATGCGTGTAGTATATGCGTGTGTTTTGGGAGGCTGCGATATGTTCGTGTTTGTCTCCTTGTGATAGCGCGGAACTGATGCCGTCAAGCAGGAGTAGAAACTACTATCTTTACAGACTAAGGTATGTCTCAGCCAGGGGACAGAACCCAAAGCCTTCCTCACAGGGGCAAACGCTCAACTAAAGGCCAAAAGTGAGTCATTGTCATGGGAGACATTAAGAAGAAGAAAGTTGTTTAGAAAGAAGAGAAAAAATAAGCTCCCAAAACTGTATGCCAGTATGCAGCACAGTGCGTGTCAAAGTAGGCTAAACCACTTTAAAATACATACATATCTCATACATAAAAAGCAAATATTTGCACGTTTAAATGCCGCATGGCTGTGCCTTTTCGTCAGTGTTATATTGTCGTATAACTCCATTTCAATTGTTAAAGTAGAGAGTTAAACAATCATGTTAAAACAGTCTGTCTATTACAAATGTTTGATTACTTCAATAGTTAATATCCAACTTTATATATTATCTTTTAAAATGAGAAAGAGAAAATTGAATGCAATAGGTCAAAAAATGAACTTAAAGTCTAACCGAATGAGGAGAAATGAATGTCGACCCTCTCAAACATAACTGGCTTCAGGAGGGTGTATGTGTTTCCGTCCTGATGTATCCTGTCCAATCCAGGTAAATATCTAGGTCACCAAGGATCTGAGACATGGCAAACTTGTCTATAAGTGTGGTAATCCCTGAAATCAAATAGGTAGAAATAACGTTAACGCAGATAGACGCCTCTGACGTAACTGATATCTAAACAGCTTCTGTAATAGCGAATGAACTCCAACAAGTAAGCTCTTCCATAGAAGAAAGGGCAGGAATGAGCTGCTCAGGGAGAAAAGTTAGAAACTCTTGAAGTGAACTCGTCAAATTAGTTAATGTGTTTAGTATGTCGATGTTTTGATTCTTCTCATTAGCATTAGAGCGTTTGTGGATTGTTGTCACTATCCGAGTTTCCGATGTGAGGACGTGGCATTACTTGGATTCGACAGAGAAGCAGAAGACGCTTACCCTTCTTTAACACCTGGTCTTATTCTTCAGGTATTTGTTCAATGCCTCCATGTAAATCTTTCGTTGGAGAACCCGATACATCCATACATATATGAGGCTTTAGACCAACATATACCCTTGTCTATGATATACATATTCTCCTTGTGAACTTATCTATGTGAAGTTATACTAGTATAGAGAGAGTTGTATATAAGAGAAAAGTTATCAATTTTCAATTAGCCCCAGTTTGAATGCTTCTTGCCGACGACAACATGTGGAATTTAATATTAAAACGTTTGATACCACAGTTGTGCTCAAATTGATCATATATGTTATCTTTATGGCTCTGTGAAAGTACGCCGTCATGGTCATCATACGACTCCGAAGTCACGTGGTAATTTATGACATTTGTCAGTTTATACTCGTTAACAAACAAATAAGGGCTAGGCCATTCGGTATGACTCACGTTCGTGCAAACTTGTCTGTTAGGTCAGTACATGTCGGCAAGATTTGATCGGACTGTAATTTTATCAAAGATGTTTAAAATCGGTCAAACAATATAGGGCTTACAACCGTCTACCTGTGTCAAATGCTCTTTACATGATGAACTAGGCTATCTGTGGATCATTTTCTAATCGATTTATATTTCGATATATATTTCATCAGCCACGACATGATATACCAAAATATAAATTGTACAGTAAAGTACGGTCTCCGCAGCTTGAGAATAGAGAGAATATAAGAATAATTTTGCATCATACTATAAATACCTATAAATAGACGACATGGCAACTTATGTTATACGCACAGAGAACCATTCCAAACTCTTACTCCTCAGGTAGTTTATCGACATGTCATTACTAGTGACTTTTCCACTGTTGATGATATCAAGCACTGAAATTTACTTACAAAAGGTCTATTATATCGAGTACCATCCATGAACTGAAGTTCAATGTTAAAATTATAACAGGTGATGTCGGGGACTCTTATAAACGGGCAAAGCAAGAAGTTATATTTTAATTTGATGGAACAATATTTCTACCGCGGACTGTCGAGATTATTCTTATAAGGCCTAACTATGCAACGCTTATTTTAGTAGTATATACCAGTCTCGCATAAATGTGGGGCTGTAACAATTGTTTCTCCATTTCAGATCACGATCTAAACATCAATACTTTGTACACAGAAACCATTATGTTCAATCTACGCTGATTCTATATTACAGCCGCCATCCCTTTGTATTAGAGCGTTAGTGATCCACTAAGACCCGTTCTGTGGAAAGCTATGGATGTCGAAATATCGACCCAGTCTAACTTCCTCTCGTCATCAAGAATCAAGTATTTCGTGGATTTACAAAAAACATAGCTTGACATCGTTGAAAAGAGTTTTTTCTTTCTTTAAAAAGCATCCAATATCCACATAGACTGTGTCTTTCCTTATGCATGATGTCCGTTTCCTCCAAAACAGGCCATTTCGAGGTTTAAAAGTTCTTTATTCATGAAGTGGGCGTCGGAGAACTGGATGCTCTTGAAAGCGATAGACTATGCTGCATCATGGTTAGCGACTTATTGACAGGTGGGGGGAGTGCTTACTCTTCCGAAAACCCTGATGATTCCAGTAATACAATGGCATTTGTTTCATCATTGAGGTTTTGGGATTTTTTAATCAGCCATGTCTCTTTTTGAATACTTTCCTTTTTACTGTTCTATTGAAACTGTCCTTGAGTGTACTTATTAACCTTTCATAGTTTCATGGTTTTTTGTCTCGACTGCTATCTGTTGCACTTTTGTTTCTATCCGATTCGACCTTTCTCTGAAGCAAGACAAAGACTTTTTTTAACTCGGTGAATGACCCATTTTCCTTAATTTAACAGGAAAATTAATGATGGTGCGGTAACAAATACTCTCCTGCACAACGGTTTAACCTCAATTTTCTTTTCTTTTTTGTCTTCTCCGTTTATGTCATCTTTATATTGACTTTGAGCTCTGACTTTGTTCATGTGTATTGAAGATGTGGTTTCCACTTTTCTATTTTATCCTACTAGCCAACCATCAGCTGCTTTGCTTGTAGTCAGCATTTCCGTTTTCTAAGACGAAGAATTATATCAATTTGGCCTTCTATACTGCTGTCAGTCTCTTGTGTACGATGAAATACCCGGCTATGTTTCCCGATCACCGTCTCAGTCAGCAATGTCGCAGCTACTGAACACACATTAACATTTCTTTTGAATTGATGTCCTTATTTATTTATATTCTGTAAACAACAAGAAACGACATTCTTGTATAAAATTTGCATTTATTAATAATCGTGATTAAGATAGAATTATTCATACAAAAGTATAAATCACATACAATCAGGTAACTAACAATATGTTAAATCAAACACTGACATACACTTACATGGTTTCACACAATCCTCTATTATCACCCGTTCAAAATATCACAAGCTCTTCCAAACATATATTATTACCCGCAGTATAAATTAAGCACATCTTTGTCAACTGTCTGTATACAAGTCTTTATTTATGAAACTTTTATTCATAACTGAAACAGTATCATCCCTTGAATCCCTCAAATACTATAAAGATCATTTAGGTAGAAAGAACAAAAACTTGACAGAAAACTACAAAAAATGTATGCTGTAAATTAAATATTAATAAATTGACAAATGTTGTGTTGGTGGTATTATACTTAACAAAACATTTGTTAAGTTTCTGCCAGCAGGGTGATTAGTGCAAGGCACAAACTGACTTTGGGTAGCTCTTGAATATAAAAATCAACTGTGACACAATTCTTATCCGAGTGATTATACATTAATAATTAAGCCACCATTATTAAAAGATATTTTCCAAAAATGCTTCTTTATACAACATGGCATCAATAACAGGATTTATAAACCAAATATATTATGCAAGTGTATATTAGTTGTGTTTACGAATATCCTCCGAACAGTGGTTTCTTCAGGACGATTTCTTTAGAAATCTATTCCCCAATTAATGTTGTGGACTTTTTCACAATGTTGACAATGCATCTTCACTGTCTCCTAGATCAAATCACTTATTGAAATCCCTAATGCTTTGTCTATAATGGGCGGCGCATTTTCTTGCTGGCCCACCTGATTGTCCCGAGTCCTCTTGATCCTGACCTGTGTCCCAGAACTTTAATTGCCTCAAACGGCTGCTTACTTTCTGGCCTTTCAATCTGTTGTCTTTTTCTGTCCTAAAATGTTTCAAGTTCAATGGTATGTCCTGGATGCTTGGCTGTTCTCTGTTTTTGTTACATCTTTTCCATAGCTTTAACACATGTATTCACTATATATATGTTATTTACCTGTCACAGTTTGTGAAAGAGCAGTCATTTCACTCAAGATTCCTTTAACAAGTAATATGGCTGTAGTTTGCTTAAGCCACAGTAATCTGTCCTGGGGTAAAGAGAATCTTGGCTGGGAAGTTAGGGTGGCAGGGTGTGGAGAGATGAGGTGTGCACAAATTTGTCCTAGCCATAATCAGTTATTTGTTCAGAGATGTGAAGGTTTTAAGCAGCAGACTGCTAGAATAGAAGATGCACTACACCTCATCGCTGCCCTAATTAGTTGTCTGTCTGATAATGTGAGTGATTACTGCTGCAGACTGCGGGGAGAGAAGACATGCACTAATTCATCCCAGCCACAGTCAGCTATCTGTCCGGGGATGTGGAGGTTGAAGTCGAGGCCATACACAAACTCTGTATGGTGTTCTATCACCTCCAGAGCAGAGGGGCCAGTCATATCCCATACTCTAAATAAACAAAGTGAAGATTATATATCAGACCTACATGCAGAGAAAGTGAACAAAGCTGACAAAACCTCTCATTTCTCCATTACAATGGTCTACAATATAGTTGTTGTAAGGAAAATGAATCACTCGGGTCCCATCTGGTTTACTCACATAGGTAATTGGTACCAGAGGTGAGAAAAATTGATCAATCACTTACAGGTCTGCCTTCCTACATTGTAATTATTCCACGGAATGCATTACCAAGTGTATGATAGACCACAATAATTACCATTAGGAAGTTTCTGCTGTATGTAATAGTGACCCTGATCTTGCAAGAGAAATCACGATATATATTTGAGCACCTTTTTGCAATCATAAAATCTGAGCCTTCCATAGCAATTACAAAGAATTCTATTCACATAATAATTGTTTAATAGCAGAAAACTTGAGGCAAGCACTTCTAACCCTGAAAATGTTCAAGATATGCAACTATTTCACACTTCGGCAAATTTGGAGAAAATATTATTATAAATTAACCTTCCAGAGCAACGGCAACATCTAAGGGACATACATACAGATGCAAATATAATATGTTTTGCCTATGTTGTATATATATTTTTATAGCACCAGACAGACTTATCTCCCTTGTTACTGTTGATTTTAATTATCTGGTTGTCTACATTTTTCACCTGCTCAAACCATTGTGTACACTGTTGTCAGTGGACAGAAAATTGATAGAACCCCTCTGCATGATTGTATAAGTATATATAATTCAAAAAAGAGTTTGTATGATCCTGATAGTACATTAGACCCCATTACTAGAACAGTCTATCTGTTACAGAAAAACACTTTCTCTTACCCTGGACAGATTTATTCTTACTTTTACCGGTGTGAGATTTCCTTGTCTCACCCTAGGATTGAGACAAGCTACACATGCTCTTTGCACGTTCTCCACAATAAACCTGACGTCACTGATGTGACCCGGATAAAGAACTACTTTTATGAGGTCACACACATACACAAGTTTGTCTGATAATCTTGTCGTGTTAACATTTTACATCAAACAAGACGGGATTGATTTTAAAATGTTTTAAAATATGATGCTTGAACCATCTGACGCATACATATAATACTAATACGCTATCCACGTGTTCCTGTTTACAAACAATATGCTTCGTTTTACACTTGGACAGGAACAACAGGGTAAGAGAAAAATAATCAATCACCCCCTCGGGGATGAGATAGGGGGATCTCAACCCTCGGGGGGAAGATTCTTAAGTTGCCAAACACTTGGCAAAGCCTCATTGTTTGGCAAATTAAGAATCTTCCCCCTCGGGTTGAGATCCCCCTATCTCACCCCCAAAGGGATGAAAGATTTTATTAGTCTCACATAGTCATATGGATGCTCACTGTTGATGTAGCAGGATTCAGAGCAAACTTTGTTAGGGAGATCATACCAATACACCAGTGACTAGATTAATATATTCTGACCTAAAGTACTTTTGACAAATATTCTTTTTACAAATTTAACCTGAACAACACAGTTCCATGTTTGGATATGTGACTAAAACACGAATTAATACCATTGCAGATTAAATGACCAAGTAACCAGCAGGACTGTATCAGAAACGTTTTATCACCTGTACGAGAAACTCACCTGGTGGTGAAATCATATGAACAGGAAGCAAGGATGTTGCCAGCATGAGGGGAAGCCTGCAAAACAAAAGTATAGCAATGTCACCCTGTACTGTAAAGGTATCTAAGTTTGTGTGCAATGTCACCCTGTACTGTAAAGGTATCTCAGGTTGTGTGCAATGTCACCATGTACTGTAAAGGTATCTCAGGTTGTGTGCAATGTCACCATGAAATGTAAAGGTATCTCAGGTTGTGTGCAATGTCACCCTGTACTGTAAAGGTATCTCAGATTGTGTGTAATGTCACCCTGTACTGTAAAGGTATCTCAGGTTGTGTGCAATTCCATCTACAGTGATTTTGTGGTTTTATGAAGTAACCATCACGTATGCATGATTAATATGCAACAAAATTTCAAAACTGTTAAGAGTTTTATTTTTTCCCTTTTTATTACCATACTAAAATGCCATTCTACAACTGTGAGTAAATTTCTTCAGACTTATTTTCTGACAATATTTATCCTATTTGATTAAGTTTCTAATGGCATCAAATAATCAAAATATACTGCAGGTCATAAAATAATATTTTTGTATAATTCTATCTTTTAAGGTAAACTTGTTTTTTTCTACACATGGGCGGTAAATTTAGTCAAAATCGCAGGTAAAGGTTTAATATCAAAGATTTATTGACATTTATCAAATCTTTGATCTTATTAAACATAGGGAAAGAAGACATCATGACAAGTGCATGTATGACACTACATTTTACTTTCCCCTCCGATCCAGGTAGACCTTATCCAGCTTTAGCCTACCTTGACTCTCCTCACAGCTAACTTGTGGCCAAGCAGTTGGTTGATTGGTGTTTGAGGATTTCTTATATCCCACACTCGTATGGTACCGTCCACTGCCCCACTGAACACCAAGTTCTGGATAAGAAATGAGGAGCATCAACATTCTACCCATAGTTCCATTTCAAGCTTACAGACCTTGATCCTATGACTATACCTTATGCCATCCCATTAATATAAGTTGCTATTCTACAACAGTTATTTGCTAGACTATTACAACAGTGAGGAGAATATCAGGCTGTAAACTTATACTTTTCATGTCTTCTATTTTGGATGCAAACTCTCAACTTTTCACTTGTCATATCTTCCATTTTGGATGCAAACTCTCAACTTTCCTATCTCGTTTCTGACTCTTGAAATCAGCATGATTCCCTACATCTTACTTTTTGCTTAAGCTTTAACATTCTGCAACATTATTTTGATACAAATTTTTAAACATGTTACAGTTTCTCCCCCATGAAAATTTAGACAGTTTGTCAAGTTTAAGATGTGACCATGACACATGTTTAATGATAACATTACCAGGTAACTCATCAGAAGTTCAGTATAGCTATACACTTATCATTCGGTCAGCAGTCACCATTCCAGAGTTTAAACATTTGATTGCCTTTAACATGTCAACGTACCTGGTCATATTTACACCAGTCACAGGTGAGAATCTCTGCCTCATGAGCTGGGATTACTGTCTGAGCAAATTGAGGCTTCCTAATGTCCCACACACACAGTGTCTGGTCACCTGTCATAGACAACACTCATCAATCTCATATATACTTGGGCCCACTTGTATAAAACATCTCAACTCTTGAGATTTCCTCAAGTCTAAGATTTCCCATAGACAATACATTGCTTAAGATTTTCCTTAACTTTGAGATGTTTTATACAAGTGGGCACTGGTCATACTGTATATACTGGGTAAGCCATCTGAATAAGGTGCAATAACAAATTCTGTTACAGAGAACAACATCCCAATATAAGTACATATGATCGGTGATAATTCAGTTGAAAAAATATAGATGATAAAAATAATGCATTCAGGGAGGATTTGATTATGAAATTGATGAAAGCTTAAAATTCTAAAACCAAAAAGATTCTACATGGGAGTTAATATTGCATCCCAGCCTGCTGCCCATTAGTATACTCATACAGCAGATACATTGAAAGATATCTCATTGGATATTGTATATTGGACATAAAACATCTCTGGACTAGGTATTTGTGAGGAAATGATAAAATTGAGATTTACAACATTTATCAATGCTTGATTTGTTTGCAATACTGCCTCGAAATATTCAAAATATGTCCAATAATGTCATTAGAACATTAGCATCTGCTCTATAAATCATACCAGTGCATCCCATTATCCTAAAGTAGTAGTAATGTTGTCATTTGTAATGGTCATGTGGATTAATGGCTATAGCAAACACCCAGAAAGTGTCTCAAGACTCAGGCGTGGAGATTCTTTTGCAAAAACTAATGCAACACAAGATGAAACCACGGCAATAAACAATTTAAATATAAAGTGATTTTGATCTACTGTAAAACAGAAACAAAAAAATCTCATGTGCATCATTACATTTTACTTACAGTATCTAACACACCTTCAACTGTTCTAGGTTTGTTTTATCTGAAAGTGTTAGAGAAGACCGCAATAGAGCATACACTGAAGCATTGCTCTATGTACACACAGTCACACACCTACCTGATGCTGAAACAAAACAGCCTGGAATGTGTGGTGACCATCTCACAGAGTAGACTAATGACCTGTGGCCTTCAAAAGTGGACAGGGAGCTAGACTGGGAGATGTCCCACTGTAAAACACAAGATAGATGTAGAGGTCATTGAAGAAATGTCCAAAGTATAAAACACAAGATTACTGTATAGACTGGCAGTAAAAATCACAAACATTCAAGATCAAGATCTGGAGATTGAACTAGTAACAAAGGCAGCACTAAAAGAACTTTGTTTGATGTAAGTATAATCTAAGGTCAGTTGCAGAAATTGTGACAAATAGAGATAAAAAATATTTGATAATCTATTTGTGTCTTCCCAACTTTGCCCTAAAAACTACCAGTGTTGAAAGAACAGTGGAAATTACAATACAAAAACAGTGTTTTTAAATAAATCTGTATCTATATGTTGTACATGAATGTTAGAGTTACAGGAAAAACAATTAAGAAAAAAGTTCAAAGTGTTTATATAAAGAGGACAATGATATAAACTGTGCATGCTGACACATACAACCACCCTGGAGTCTGGAGATTTGTTTAGAAGAAGATGTTGGGAATATGGCTTACACCAACATTGGAGTCAATTTTATTTCATATAGTATCCCAAGCTTTATAAAAAGTGGCATATATTTGTTCTGTTTTCGAATGTAACAGCATAGATATTATTATTTTACCTAACCAGTCTTGAGGTTGGCTTGAAAAAATCATATTTTGAAACAGTTGTTAGTGGCAGTGCACCCGGGTAAATATAAAACCCTACCAGTAGGATCAAGAAACAATTTAGAATGACAGAGAGTAAGTGCTCAAAATTAACCCAATTTATGTGATGTACTTATATTTTACACTTGAATGTTCATGCACATACTAAAAATATAAGTTATTGATAAGGAACTTATTTCCAACAATAATTATTTCACAGCAAGATTCCTGTACCACTGACAAAAACTGTAACTCTGAGTTGGAACTACTGGCTTGACAATGACTTTAATGACTGGTAGAGCTTTTAGGAACAAACAAGTGTTCTGAGAGTAAAAAACACAACAGCTCCAAACGGGGATTCAAATCCTTCACCTTTGATCACAATATAGTCACTTTAACCAACTGAGCGACCTGATCAGCAATCACTTAATCCCGTTCCAGTCTTCCTACTGTTATAACTTATATTTAAATAACATAAAGGGGGGGTTACTGTGTGTACACAAAATTGGAGTTGTCTAGTGTTTTGCCCACAACAGGACAAAGATACTTAAATGAAAAGCTATTTTATGATCTATAGGTACCAATGGTTCTTAGAGGAAAATTAAGTGTATAAATGAAAGCTTGTTTACAAACCAGTTTGATGAGACTGTCCCAGGACCCGCTGATCACCAAGTTCTCATTCCTTGTCTGACTCCAGTGAACAGAATAGGTCTGGAATGGAGAATGATGTCACAACAGTTCACCTTACATATCTTGCAACCTCAGCTTTATATAAACAACCAGCTATTCAGGAACAAATATGGTAATCCAACTCTTTTAAATTTGTCCTTATTTCCATGTGTCATAATAACAGGATTACTTATCATTTACCCATCATATAAATATCACTTTTGTAGAAATAAATTATCTTGGTTTTTTTTACAAAATTCCTTCATGTATTTACATAATAAAACTATATCAATTTACATACCTCCTTTGTGTGTTCTTTTAGAGCCTTTAGGGGACCCTGAATTTAAAAATAAATCTTCATATACTTTTATACAAAATAAATTATTTTAGTGAAGCCTTTCAATTATTCTTTATATTTCATGTTTTGTTTTATACTGCTAACTGCTTTCATCAATAAACACAATTATATTGTAAAGTTAACAGTCACATCTCTAGAAATCATCAAACTGCATACCAACATCAGAGGGGTTGATGGGCATGAAGGTAATTCAAACAGATTCCCTGGAAGCTTATTCCGTCTTTGCGTATTGCAGAGTTATCTTCTCTTGCGAGCAGGTATTGATTGTTACGTCATTGGTTTGTGAGAGTAACGTCATCAATTTTTGAAAAAACGACGTAATTTTCTCACACACACCAATGACGTAACAATAAATAACTGTTCCCAAGAGAAGATAACTCTGCAATACGCAAAGACGGAATTGTGAGTAGGACCATTTGATTACAAAAATCAAACCAACTAAATGTTTGGTGTTAGTACACTAATGAGTACTAGAACACTAAGAGATATGGATACTGGGTAAATGTAGACGTGTTTCTCCTTCGTTCATGATTACCTGAGGTTGGGAGACATCCCACACCAAGATGCTGCCATCACCAGCCGCTGCCACCAACACATTTTCATTGCCTTCAGACCAAGTAACCTCGAACAGACCATCGTTCCACTGGTAAGTCTGTAAAGGCACAAGGCCGTTTGGAGTTGCATCAAGAACAAATAGTGTCCCACAACCTGAATTTGAATAGAACAATAACACATCAAATGGAGTAAAACTCTAGCACAATGCATAAAATTGAACCTGTATGTGACTATATATGGTCTTAGGTTTTTCAATGGTTTGTAGATTTGAAACCTGATTGTAATTATATGGTCTTAGGTTTTTCAATGGTTTGTAGATTTGAAACCTGATTGTAATTATATGGTCTTAGGTTTTTCAATGGTTTGTAGATTTGAAACCTGATTGTAATTATATGGTCTTAGGTTTTTCAATGGTTTGTAGATTTGAAACCTGATTGTAATTATATGGTCTTAGGTTTTTCAATGGTTTGTAGATTTGAAACCTGATTGTAATTATATGGTCTTAGGTTTTTCAATGGTTTGTAGATTTGAAACCTGATTGTAATTATATGGTCTTAGGTTTTTCAATGGTTTGTAGATTTGAAACCTGATTGTAATTATATGGTCTTAGGTTTTTCAATGGTTTGTAGATTTGAAACCTGATTGTTGTTATCCAGAAATTCTTTAAACTGACAACTTATCATGTTTCTTTAACATTTTTTTTCTTTTTGATAGATGAGTGACAATGGTCTTTATAATGAAATTAGAAATCTGTCTTGCTTTACAACCTTTGTTTCATGTTATACCTGAAGTTATTTAGTTTTCAATTTGTACTACATTGTATCCCACAGATATAAACTTCATACATGTCTGGTATGAATTGGTATAAGTTTTGGAGTGATTAATTATGTTTCCTTAATACCTTGAGGGTCAGCAGACTTCACTTTCTTAACTAGATCACATTCAAAATCTTTTCACATTGATGTGATTTTTTTCACTTGATCATTTTTCTGCATCTCTCTTCACTTTTAGGTCTTGTGTTTGAACATTTTCTATAGCAAGTGATGTTGTTTCTTTAGTATTTATGCACAGGAAGTTTGTGCTTATTATCTATTATGAAATAATTCTATTGAAGCTGAGTTTTCTTTCCCAGGTTTTAGGTTTTGCTTTCATACGCGTTAATTGTAATGGATAAAAAGCATGCAATAGAGTAACTTTCAGACTTAAAATAGGATATATAATGGACGCAGGCATTGTTATGCCTCTATATCCATATCAATAATTATACATAAATGAAATAAAACTAATAGTCACTTCCGGTAATGGATTTGAAGCTAGCAAGATGGTTAAATTTTAGTTCCAAGCAATTCCAATATAATTTCAAAGTTTTAAATGGTTGTTGCCTGTATGACCGAATCCGGTAGGCTGTTCCATATATCTAAAGGAGTATTTGCGGATATCCAATCTACAGTATTTTTTCTGTAGTTTTTGTGAATTGCCTCTTGTTCAGGCTCCTATATGATGGTCAAATATCCCAGTGGTAATTTGATTATCATGAAAATTGTTCATCATTTTGTTAATTTTTATTATATCTCCTCTCAGTCTCCTATATGTGAGTGTTGGAATCCCCAGCTTCTTCAGACGGTCACTATATGGTAGATCTTTGAGACCAGGAATTAGCTCTGTCGCCCTTCTTTGCACTCTCTCGATTAATTCAATGTCTTTCACCTTGTATGGGTTCCACACACTTGCGGCGTATTCCAAATGTGGGCGGACTAATGCCTTAAATAGTTGTATAAAAGTTGTTTTATCCAAGTAACTTAGGCCTGACTTGGTGAGTCTTCCTATTTTTGAAGAGGAATAACATTAAAATTCCCCCTCAATTCTGGGTGGGGTGTTCAGCTGCTGGTACTGCTGCGTGATGTAAAATCTTGTTCATGAATATAATGTCTGTTACTTTGCACCCTATGTTTCCAATTTTACTAATTCAGGTACTATTTTGTTGTGCTGACATGGATTATTGTTATTGTAATGGTTGATGACAAGCTATAACATATGCTGCATTTTTCTGGACTTGTTTTGTCTTATGTGCTGTACGTGTCATGTGCAAGTTCCATCAAGTTGCTGTTTTCTATTTTAGCTACCAAGCTAAATATTCCTTTACTTGCATAACAGACTGGAAAGAGAGTAGTGTACGTGCTTCCACTGTGAATCAACCCTTGCAACCATCCCAGTTTCCCAGTCTGCCGCTCTACGGATTGAGCGGAAACCTAAAGGGAATTCCACAGCATGAAGCAGGAAGGCAACCATGATCAGGGACGTATAGTACTATATACTGTCCCTGCCATGATCAATTAATAAATGTGCACAGATACGCAGATGTGATTCTGAATGACAGATTATATAGTTTGAGTGTATAATAAATGTAAGTATAGTGCCAATTGAAAAAGTTATAAAATGAAATATCATATGTGTGCAATTCATTATAGATTCTCTATTTGTACATTTTACACAATGTGTAAGATAGCTATTCCAGAAAGTTGTGGAGGGTAATAATATGCAATTACTATTGTTTTTAAGGGTCAGATTTCACTAGTGTTTGGATAACAAAATTTGATGTGTAGTTTGATCGCCGGGGGAGGCAGGGTGTGCTTAGAACCATTGAGGACTACAATATACTTGCCAGCAAGGCCGTAATACTGAGATGTGGCACATGCTAGACGTTGTGGGTAATACGGCGAGAATTCCACTGAGTAGCCGTGTCGAGATTTGGTTCGGAATGACACGTTCATTGCTTGATATACGTCCACATCTTGTCCAAAATAGATATCAGCTACATTTTGTCCCAAGGTAGCAGACAGCTGTATGTAATTGACCTTTAACCTCGTCAAAAATGAGATGCCAAAATGTATTACGTCATTCATTATTATCTTTATCAAAATAGTATATAATATATCCATGATTTATTGAAGATTATTGCAGTTTAAGACAGCTACATAAATTATTTATTTTTGGTGTCAATCAGCTATATTTTTTTACGGGATTTTTTTTTTAATTTTACGACAACCGCAAAGTAAATACCCGATCGTGCCCGCCATTATTCGTGTTTACTACTGACGATGTTTTGAAATGTAAAAGACTCTCATGCCATAATTTAAGATCACATATGATATGGCATGTGACAGCTTGTATTTTCTACCGTCTGAAATCGCCCGTCTGGTTTTAGGTTTGTGTCCTATTATTGTCTTTGTATGAAATATGTTACCCATTTCAATCACGGGAAAGTTTTGTTGATGTTGACAAAATTCAATTTCGTGTTTTTGGGATGCTGGGTTTCAATGTTGTCACATTTTCGTATTTATTTCATTGTATATTTCTTTGTTTTGAAAATTTGCTTGATTTACTTCAGGTTATCTACAATCGGAAGGCTACGTCAAAACTTACAAGAACTTTGTGAAAGAATGTCCTCATCTAAGCGAATATGTCAACTTCATGAAGAAGGGCCAATATTACCCATTGACAATCAATGGTTTGGCCCTTATGCAGATCCTGGAAGAATATGGGGCTCTAAGAGTAGCAGGTGAGAATGAAAATATTATGGTATTTACACATCATAATTGTGAAAGTTTTAGATGGTAATTATTTCAATGGTTTACTTTGATTATGATGTTACAATATACCATTTGGTGTGGTATCGTGACCGTATATAGAACTGATTAGAAGAAATACCTTTGTGGAGGACAAGCAAGACTCTATCACTTCAAAACCATACCATTAGCAAATTTCATTCAATTTGTTGAAATATTACAAACAACAATTTCAATATATACAGTTGTAGTAGGATGAGGAATAGTGATATCACAGACTTAGATAATCTAATTCCGTGGTGATCATGATATACCTCCAAGCATTCCACCATATTATTTCTTCCTTGCTTGTCTCATGAGAAATAGACATATTCGGTATACATTCATTTGCAAACTGACGAAGAATATATATAATTGCAGTCTATTGAAATGTATTTAGTGCATATGGCTTGCCACTAGCATACACAATTCGATGAATCAAGAGATCACATTGGCCCAGTTGTGTAAACCATGCACTGTGTTTTTTAAGCCTACTACCATCATATTGTTTATATCACTGTTATTGGGGCCCATCCTTAATCAATTTTGTTTTAAATACTGTTTTTCAAAAGTGATGGACAGATCTTTATCAAATTTCATGTGAAGGTTACGCATGCAATTTTTCCTAATCAGTTTTTCATAGTTGTTCCTGCAAAAAAATATTCTTTTCTTCTTTTTTATTTCCTCATTTTCAAAATGAGTGGGCCTAGCACTTGTCACTGAAAAATACAGATGACTTTATATTTATTTTATTTTTTTCAGAAACTACCAAGAAATTAACACCAAACCCGGCTCTAAGTTCCCTATGGTGTCAGTTTGACTCAGTTGTGGACAATATCAAGAAACGTATGGCTTCTAATTCAAATTTGGTATACAAAGGCCATGAAAACCAAAAGTCCAGGACACGAATGCAGATGGTGGAACGGCGACGTAATCAAATCAAAGCTTCTGTAACCAATGTTGATCCAGATATCATCCAGCCCCACAACTCCAAAACACTTGTCACGCCACTGGTGGTCACCCGGGCAATTTTGCAGAACAAGGCTGACTCGGATTACAGTCTATCACAGCCAGCCTCACCATCAGATGGTGGTGAAGGACCCGATGATAATGACTCTGATGTGTACGAAATGTCAGTGGATGTCCCTAGTGGAACTGAAATAATGAAATTACCTACATCCCAACCAACAAAAGAAGGTTCTAGTGAAATGAGACCTATTAAAGCTTTACCAAGTCCAAGGTCAGATACAGTCTGTACTTTGCAGAATTCTTCTGAAAAATACCAAGCATCAGAATGCTCTACAGTTAACAAAGTTACAGGTTTGTAGTGCAGTGTACTGATACATCTACTGTAATTCATGTTTAATTAAATAAAAAATGCTTCATCTTAGTCCTATTGTCCAGTAACAATTCCATATGTTACTAATCTATATCTTAACTCAGTAACACTAATGACTTATCATGGTATACAAAATGATTGCATATGAATAAAAGTTTGGTGTAATAGTCATATTTAATAATACATATATATATTCAAGAAATTATCAATATTAAAAATATTAACAGAGCTGTCAATACTTGTATGAAATGTTACTCTCTAATTACATTATGGATTTATTGGCTATAAAACATTTTGACCATATGTATTTTACATCAGTAATGTTTCCTGATTCAAATTTACAAATATTCTTTTGAACACTGACAATATTGGTTTACTTTTGGCTCTTCAGAATTGTCTGCCAGAAAGGTTCCCATGGTTCCATCCATTTCCTCAGTCACAATGACAGTTTCAACAGTAGCTGCACATGCTGACACAGAAATGACAAATGTTCCAGGCTCACCAGCTGTTGGTCTTGTGTCATCTCACAAAACACCTGTCAAAAACCATACTACTGTGGAGCCTGGATTGGAGAAGTCACCAAGGCGGAAGAGGTATATTGTCTGTGAAATGTTACAAAAAGCTTGTTCATTCTTCTTAAACAGAAACTACTTGTTATCAGAAAAGTTCTGTGTGTTAAACAAGAAATGTTAGCCCCTCTGATCTACTAATTATGTACATTTGAAGATAATGTAGCAATCATCCTCTAAATATGGAGTAAATAGGCTTACGCTGTTAGATAGAACAACTCCCTATTAGTGGAACTGTGGGGGTTATATGATGTGAGTAGGCTTATGCTGTTAGATAGAACAACTCCCTATTATTGAAACTGTGGGGGTTATATGATGTGAGTAGACTAACACTGTCAGATAGAACAACTCCCTATTATTGAAACTGTGGGGGTTATATGATGTGAGTAGGCTTATGCTGTTAGACAGAACGACTCCCTATTAGTGAAACTGTGGGGGTTATATGATGTGAGTAGGCTTACGCTGTCAGATAGAACGACTCCCTTTTAGTGAAACTGTGGGGGTTATATGATGTTAATAGGCTTACGCTGTCAGATAGAACAACTCCCTATTAGTGAAACTGTGGAGGTTATATGATGCGACTGTGTCTACCTAGTCTCATCCTGGCAACAGACAGATGCACCTAGCATGAATTAATTGATCAAACAAGACGATGTTTTGTTTTCTAATTATTGCCCAGGCAATAACTTATGAATGGCTCGATATTTTATAGATATATTTATAATGATTCCTACCAGACAGTACTTCTTGTACAGCCATCGGGTGTATGTAATAAGTTCAAGATCACTAATATAAGGGGTCAAATAGCTACCTGTTCTAAATTTCGAACAAGTGAGTATTGTTTCAGGAAGCTTATAATTAGGATTCATACTTCGAAAAAGTCGTAGTATTTTTGGAAAATAACTTCTGAACAACTGAATGTTATACTTTATTTGAAACTCCATCACTATGTGTATCATGCCTACACAGTGTATCGTAGTAGGAGATAGAACACCTATTCTAATTATTCAGTATATCTCTTTTGAAAGTAAAGTATTTAGTAAGTGTGTAACAATCCAATCTAATAAAAATTATATCTTCACATCGCTCCCGTTTACTGATATGTCGCGTTGAAGATCTAACAACATCCCGTAGAGGGTCATGTTCAGGCGACCTTTGCGTTAACCAATCAGATGAGAGCTTACGCATTTCTGTAAATGATGATGTAATGATTTCGGAACACACTTGCTATGATAAAAGACCGAGAGGTGTCAAATGAGCATCGAAAATGGCGGCGCCCATGACACCACGCCGTGTCTATCTACAAGACAACGTTTGTACAATTTGTGGATTTTGCTTTGAAATAAGAAAGACTTCCTCTTCTGGTGATGTTGTCGTTAAAAAGTTTAACAACCTGAAACTAAAATTAACCAATGACAGGCTTCGCAATATTCAAACTATCACTGGACCAGACGAAAAAGTGGATTTTGGGCTACGAGGTGTCTGCATTAAATGCTACAGGTCCTGCTTTCTGACTGGTTGAAAGAAAGAGTTATGTCACATTTTGATTGGCTTGTTATAAATACGATAATGCATTCATGTTGACCTCTGACGTGACCCTCTATGGGATGTTGTTAGATCTTCAACGCGACATATCAGTAAACGGCAGCGATGTGAAGACATAATTTTAATTAGATTGGTAACAATCAGCAAGGAGTTGAATATCTGACAGGGACATCATTTTCGATTTGCTGCAAATAACTATGCATATTTTTGAATTCAAAGCATGGATTGTTTGGGAAACACTATCAGTAAGATAATTTGATCTGTACTGTAAAAGCAAATTACACAGTGATATCAGCTAGAAGTAAATAAGATACTGATTGTCAAATGTCCATGTTTCACAATTAATTGGTGTTTTATTTGACGAGCTGATTTAAGTTTTGAACCATGTTGACCAAAGTGTGTTTTATTTATTATAGACCACCAAAGAGAAAACCACAAGGAGAACTTCGCAGACAGAATAAGTCTGACTCCAGTATAGCACATGGTATAGGTAGCCACAATGAAAGTAGTAACAGCACCGATGGATCAGCCCTGGAAAACTCCTTCCCTGTAAGAAATCCTAAATGTTGTACCCATATATTTGTTTTATTTATTCACAAATGTGTGTCATGTTCAACAAGAAAAAGAACTACTCTTTTTCTGTAATATAAGTGACATGTCAACCTGGACAAATGTGTACTTGTGTGTGTTGTGAAAGCATAAACATGTGTTCTTCTATGTTGAAGTTAACATTATTGACGTTTTGTTTTGTGCCACCTCTGAACTTAAAAAACCTGTGTGTCATTTCCTCTGAAAAACTCCTTACTGGTAACAGGTTTAAGGATACACAATTTCCTTCAATTAGATCTATTTCAATGCCTGAAATAAACAAAAGTACTGTTCTATATTACTTATTTACGAGTCCAATGTCTGTGTCATTGGCAGCTTTGTCATTGGCAGCTTTGTCATTGTCTTAATCAGTTGGGTTTTGGTCACTGTCTCTGTCCCAGCTGTTGTGTCTTCTTCGTCTTATTTCCCTTTTTAATGAGAAATCCAGGAAACATATTCTCTGTTTTGAACAGTCTGTAGCATTGTTTACAGTCCCTGCCATATTTGTTCATCTCTAACTAACTGGCCCTTTTGCAACAGATTGGGTACACAGTAGATTGATCAAGTTGTCTCCCTTCAACCTAGCTTCACTTAGGTTATTGATTTAGCTGTCTGTTTGGAGGTTGAATTTGAGGTTAAGTAACTGATTGGAACAGGCAGTAGAAACTTTATTGTGTCATCAAAATCATTTCATGCACACATAACATATTTTTGTATAATACTTTTGTTTCTGACGAATTTTTTCTATTACTTTTAGGGTTCACAGTTAAGTTTGTATTCTAAAAAAAAAATAAAAAAATATCAAATCTGTCATAACTGTCATAAAATGGAGTGATTCCTTTGTTTGAATAATGATCCTATTTTGTGTTGTTGTCAATGAATATGACACTATATAATCTGTGTCTTTCTTTCACTTTACAGCAAATATTGGAGCACATCATGAATGATCCATTGCTTCCACACAAACTTGCTGAGAACATCAACAAGAGTCTTCACCCTGAGGTGATCCCAGACCCTGGTACACCAGCTGCCCTTCCTCATGTGGATTCAATCCCTGATAGTCCCTTCATAGGTCGCTCTCTCGAGGATATACTTGACCAACAGGTATCACCTTAAAAATGGATCTGTCTACTCACGTGTGTATTGTGGTTGACACTGATTGCGTAAACATAATCAGGGCCGTCACAGATCAGCGCACGCTGTACTGCTGCAAGTTTAATAATGCTTTTGTCTAAGTTGTGAAGTCAATTATCAAGCTTCAGATGGCAACAGGTGTTATAATTTGTGTTCATTAATGGACAGTGGGGTCAAGTTAATTGGATGATCCATTGACGTTGAGAAAACAGTCTGATAAGCCAGTCACGCATAGGTTGATTTGCACACGTACATTTGGCGGCGCCGTAAGCCGATCTGATCATCTTGTTACAAACACTGCATCCAACATGGGTTAATATATATTAAATAAGTGTGCATGGTCTTCATTCACCTATTCAAGTACAGTAGCAAGCATAAATGCATCCGATATACTTGATTAGATAGTATAAGTATCGCCTTGAAACACCATGTTGAAGTGCCGATTTTCGGCCGTTCAGATCACTTCAAACGAGGTATCATATCAATGTACTTTCGTGGTAAGATGTTATAGAATTTCAAGTGGTCAAGAAAAGTTATTTAGCATCGCAGTTATGCAGTTTTTTGAACAGCAAGCTGTTCAGAATGTCTTCGACGGTCGCTTATATTAGGTGCCAATCGACAACACGGGAATGGCCAAGTTGCGCGATGTGATGTGCTCCCGTTTTATTTCGAAGGGTTGGTCAATACCGTTATAAATTAGTCCTTTTCCTTTCAAATGTGTTTTTCTGCCATTTGCATTTGAAATGTGTGATATTTTAAAATATATATAGTGTTTTTTTTACATAAAACATGAATTACGTATACAGTGAATGTAAACCCAGGAAAAATAATTATCAATATTGCATCACTGAGGCTACTTTTGATTTGGATTTTTATAAGTTTAATTTTTAGCTTGAAGGCACGGAATTAGACTATCTAAGCCCGAAGGCGAATAATATCTTAACATTTAAACTTTTCAACCTATTTTTTTTCACAATTCCTTTGTCAAGAAAATGAGATAAAGTCTGATTTTTCTCTCTTTTGAAAAGAATTAAAAAAGTTCTGGTGGAAATTTTCAGCATTTTGATTTAAGTCATATTTTCTTATAATTAAAGCTTTATCATCTGAAAGTATTAAAAAAATATCATATTATGGATTAAATTATAGGCATGATGTATAACAACATTTTAATTTTAACAGATTACTCCTTAATTTGACATCTTGTTGAATAGTATTGCACTTCAAAAATATTAAATATTGAATGATTTTAATGGAGGGCCTATATCCGTAACGGTTGGAGGCTGAGAAAGTATGGCCACTGTTTCAAAAATATTGGCTACTAATTATTTCTGTCCAGGGTGAGCCCTGATTCAGTAACACTTTCTGTCACTTGCCAGATACAAGTGCATGTGTCTGGACCTGAAATGGATTGTAGCCAAAATATTTTATATCAGATGAAAATTTTGTAGAATATTTTTCAGTGTGTCCAAGCCAAGAATTTTGAAATGTGCTTGAGTGCCAAGTAAAATCATAGTGCCATATAAGTTGAGTCCCAGCCAAAAAAGGGAAGTCCAGGGCTTGGAAATCAGCTTCATTAAATCACTGTTAAAGATGTGTGAAAAATAATTACAAATTCATAACAGTATTCCTTTCTACTAATTACAGCTGGACATAAAGATCATTGCATCATGATTATGTCTCCGGTGTTGATATTTCATTATATATATCATACCTCTATACTTGATGGGAACCATGTCTATAATTCAGAGGGCAAACATTTTTGGTTGATATTAATGTTCAAAAGTTCTATCTACAGTATAATATATATTCTGATACTGATATTAATATTACACTGACCGTCCTGTTTCTTTATGTAGGAAACACAGATGCCAGCATCTTCCATCAATGGAATTATAGAACTCACAGAGAGGGATCCGAATTTTGAGTGGCTGTTCTCTGCAGGTGTTTGTTATCGTAAGTTAGTCTTTGGAATGTCTCTAAGAATATCTTTAAAGTTTGATACAGCTTCAACATCAACCAACTTTGATAATATAGGTATCTCATGATCATCTGTTTCAACTGAAGAAATGTTTTGTGATAACAGATCAACCTGGCTTAAGATTTAGATCAGGGAATGAAATCAAATAGTTTGATTACTAAAGGATTCAAATTGTTTTTAACTAAAAACAAAATATATAAGAAAATTTCACTCATTTTTGTATATTCTACAATTCTAACTAACATTCATGAAATGTATAGAAACAAGCTTAAAACATATTGATTAACACGTGTGTTAAGTTTAAATGTTTTGCATATCTTCTAAGATTGTCTCAATTGTTTTGGATTTTGGATGATATGTGGACATGAAAGTACATTTTGTGTGTTTCCAATTGTCTCTGTGTTTTGACCAAATCTTTGTAGTTGTTGTCATACCAACAACTTGCACACAGAGCTTGACAACAAAAACCTTTTATTAAATGCATATTAATGATTGTTAGAATTGCCTTGGAAATGTGAGGTTTTGTCCTCATACTGATTTCAATTTTCCTCAACTGCCCTCTTGCAGAAAGCGATTCACAAAACTGAAGATTCCATTCATAAAATATGGGCTGAAAACGAGAACCAATGAAAGTTTTAAATGCACTGATTAAAGCCAATCAAAATATTAGGTCGATTTCGCAAATTATTAATTTTCACTTCTGCCTCCATTTTCTGGTTATTTGTTATTCACAGAAGCGCTATTCACTGTTTTAGGTGAATCAGTACGAAAATGACAACTTACTCCGTGCTTGCTCGTTCTTGTTTGTAAGCTTTTGATTAATTTGTTAGCTTAAATTTGAATTGATATAATTTTTCTACCAGAATATCGGCAGCTGAGTAAAAACATTGAAAAAAATCCAAGGGCTTAAAACACTCAATATGTTCTCCTTTTACAAACAAATGCCTCTGTACTCAGTCACAATTCAGTATCATAAGAAAGTCCACCCCAGGCTTATGGAATGGACCAACAAAATAAAAAGTTGATTATGTTTTGCTGTATTGAATCTTACAAAGTAATTCTGTTGAACTGTGTGTGTCTCCTTTCAGTGGATGAGGCCGCCCATGACCGTGATTTTACAGACAGCGAACACAAGAGTCGCAGTAATGGACTAGTACAGTCCTCCACCAGAAACACTACACAGCAGCCACAACCTGGCTCCTCAGGTAAGCTTTGGAAACCTGTGTGGTGTATGTACCACAGAACAGGGTGCAGGGTATTACCACAGCTTGTTTTATCTGGCTACAATGTTGGTATTTGCTTGGTCCCTGTCACTGTTCATTCCATATAGTTTATTATCAATTCAAATAGTAACATATATGTATGCATATCTTTGTAGTTGTTTGTGCCATTTGACTGAGTTTATTTATAAAAGTTACAGAGAAATACATACATGTATAAACAACAATTTGCTGTTACTTCACATAATTTTTGCAGGAATATTGAACTGTATGTCATTGAATGTTTCTTTTTTATACTTTAGGTAGTAAGATGGATTTTGTCCCGGCATCTGACAGGTCCTTTGGTGGGCTGACATCGGAGAACATACCTTTTACTCCTCCTACCAATTTTATGCCAATATCAGAAGACATTGAAAGCAACTTATTCAAAATATCTGTGCCAAATTTTTCAAACTCTCCAACAAGCAATGCTGAATCATTCCACAGCATTACTCAATATACAACAACCACAACCAGAGATGAAGCTCGTGCCACACAGTTTCCAATCACAGGCAGTGTGACATCTTCGACCTTACACCAGCCAAAGACAAGTAATGTTAAAACCCAGTTGCCATTGACAACTTGTGATAGTGCTTCTCAGCAGTTTGCTACCTCAGCTGTACAAAGTGTGACAATATGTGTGACAGCTCAGGCTCTGGCAACTGTCACATCCCATCAACCAATCACTTCTAGACTCTCGTCCCAGCCAATCACAACAGCAGTGACATCCATACAACCAATCACCTCGTCTTTCTCCACTGGTTATGGTAAAGAGACGGTAGAGTCCACCCTTACCTCCCCTCACGGTTTCCCTGTGCTGTCCCTCAGGAGCTCTGTCAATGATGATGACTTGCCAGATCCTTTATCGTCGTTCACTATACAATCACCAGTCAAGCCATGTGTGACAAGTCAGTGTCACACCAGTGAGGTGAGAGGAAGCACCTTGTCAGCTTCATATTCTACATTTGTGAGCGGCATGAATGACGGACAACATAGCAGTACTCCCATCACTGGGCGAGTCAATGCTGGTCTTGTTTTGCCTTGTGTGACAGGCATTACCTCCAGTCAAGAATTAACAAAAAAAATCCCAGCTGTTCCATCTACCTCTCCAGCGGTGTTTGCCAAGCCCCATTCAGCTGTTCCAACTACCTCCCCAAAGTCATTGCCAACCATCAACATCCGTAGTCTTATGGATAAACTGGAAGCTAAAGCCAAAGGAGAGGTATGGAGTTAAATGTGAAATTCTTGAATATCTGTTTCAATATTTTCTATATGCAATATGTAATAGGTACCTGTAGATATGAAAACCCAGTTGCACTGATCATGATTTATCCAAAAATGAAGCCTGTGTTATGAAAGATTTTGAATCAAAAATGAGTTTACAATACATGATATTGGAGTGACTCTTTTTCCATTAATTAATGTTCAATATACTAGTCCTAAAATTTTGGTTTGTATTGTTTTTCATAGTGATTGGTCTAGATTTAATAAGTTTATAATACATGATATTGGAGTGATTCTTTTTCCATTAATAAATGTTCAATACTAGTCCTAAATTTTTTGGTTTGTATTGTTTTTCATAGTGATTGGTCTAGACTTAATAACACTGAATGTATGTATGTAATTAATCATGTTGGCATATACTAGTATACATAGTATCTACCATGAGGTTTGAGAGTTAACACTGTTTGTACGTACCAATGAAGCGCACATATTTCTCTTCGCAAATGTCTCCCTGTACACAGTGTATATGAATTGCTCCTGGAATGGGAATGTGATAAAATATACCAATCAAGGCTTAAGCTTCTGTGTTATGATTTAAAGTAGATTGAGAGAGGATTGTTTCTGAATTGCAGGTAGTAGAGATAGACCTACAGCCAAAACCAGCTGCCAAACCAAGTACCAAGGGTCGGGGCAGGAAGAAAAATCCCCCACCACAGAAGTCATCCCCAAAATCTGTCCAGCCTAAACCACTAGATCCATCAGGTGCAGGAATTTGGTCTTCAGGTATTATAATATAAAGAAGCACTTTTTATGTAAAGATTATATTGGCTTATAATGTAGGGAGAATATGTTTATTTGTCTTCAACCAAAACTTCTGACTTTGACCCTTGGCCTTGAAATTGTCATCACAACAATAGCCAAGAATTGTTGAGGGGGTTGGTAAGTAAAACCAGTAATACTATATTGAGATATTACTGTGCATGGATATGGAAACTTTTACAGAACACATTTGGGCATTATTTTTCAGAAACTAATGTATAGATATCAAGTGACCATAGATAACACCCTGGATGAAGGACATCTCAGCAACTGAGGAATAAATATTGATCAAACTTGCACTATTCTATCTCATATAAATTTCAAAAGTTTGCTTTAAGTAAATATCATGGTGGCATATTGAATGATCTTCAAACGTTTTGGTTCTCATTAGATTTCAAGTTAAAAGGGATCTATATATATATAGGGTTACATAAAATTAAGTTGTGTTTGTCAAGACTTAAAAGAAGAATTTACTGACAACTGTATTGTGAGATGAAACAAACAATGTGGAAGAGATTTTTCACAAACTTATTGACTTGTTATTTATAAACCAATTTGTGAAATTAAATGCTACAACATAGTTTGATTATTCAGATGAAGAACAGGACATTTTCATAAAAAATACATTTTATCATTATGAGCATCCTAGGCAGTGTGATCATAGAAAAGAAATATCTAGGGTTAGCCATCAGTACTTTTGTATATACATTTGCTGTCTTTGATAAAGTCAGTTCTCTAAAAGCTGTACAAATAGCAACCATCTAGTTATAGTACATGCTGGTATCATTCAATTGTGACTTTCATTGAAGATTATGCCCATTGAAACCCATTTAGGCTCCACCACTATGGACCAATTGAATTGAAATGCTTACAATAGTCAGTATTAAGTTCAATCTGAACTATTTTTGAAGTCACAATTAATATCGTAAACAAGTTACTTCACATTGAATATGATCTGACATATTCTGTTCATTTTCTTTTGTAGAACTATCAGCTTTAGTGAAAATTGCCTCTCCTGAGAAATGCACAACTCAAAGCTCAAGTGTCAAAAGGTCACGTGTCACAAGGTCAAGTGCTGCAAAGATGTCCGATTTGAATAGTGATCAGACAGTTCAACAGCCCAGGAAAACTAAGAAGGGAAATGAAACATTCATGGCCGTTTTATCACCCAGTGGCAGCTGTGTACACCATGTACCTGTCCTGGAAGTTAACTCCCTTAGCGAGTTTTCTGATGCTAAGGATTTGGTTCCTATGGGACAACTTGTTCCAACTAGCATACCTGTGGTGACGTCATCATATGTAACCCTGACAACAACACAGACTTTGATAACATCATCTCTGCCTTTATCAACCCAGAGTAATTCTATCTTATCTGTGTCCCTGTCAGCTGTACCATCCGTGACATCTTCACTACAAACTGAGTGTATTTCAAAGGTAGTGACAACAATGACATCGTCATGTTTACCATTCGTCCAGAAGGATGCCCCTCAGACTCCCCCGACCAACACCTGTCACACAGACTATCCCAGCATGCCTGACTTACATGGTTCCCAACCTTCTCTACCAGTGCCTGCCACCACCTGTGACAAACCGAAGGACATACAACCAGATCATGCTTCTGTCCTTAATGATGCCTACTCTGCAGATCGAGACTTCCTGGAGTCACCCTGCTCTAGTATGTCTGGTTATGATGATGGGTCTGCTCGTAGAGATCATGTTATGGAGTCAGGTGTGAAATCAATGACTGAACATCTCAGTGTTTATTGTGGGATTCCTGTTGACAAGGTAACACAGAGAGATATATATGCACGGCCACTGGACTTTGGTTCTGCAGTTCCACACTCAAGCTCGACAGAAGTCTCCTCTCCTCTCAGACAGCCCTCTTTTGGTCGCGGCAAGAAAACTCCAGTCACAAAGAAAAAGAAAATGGGTAGACCTCCAGGAAGGAGATCAACACGTGGAAAATCACAGTTGAATGCTGGTGAGGACATTATGAATTCTCCAATATCATCAAGAGAGGTGACCAAGGCTTCACAACAAAATGTGATGTCTCCTACTTGTAGTAGAACTGGTAGTTGTGTTGGGCAGTTCGACTCCTGTACTGACTCACTGGATGGACCACCCTCACAACAAGCCTATGGCACTCCACTTCGGGGTAAGGCATTGTCATCTCCAGGCATTCCCTCTTACACCTCCTCACATGTGGGGGAAAAGACTGTTGCAGTGACATCAGGTCAGGTCAGAAGTCCCAGTGAGCCAGCATGCACACCTCTTCAAGACATCAACAACAGTCCTGCAGGTACACCCGACAAACTGATGATTTGTACACCAACTCACACTGACTACATACCAACAAAGGGGGCTACATCTCAACGTCAAGTCTTAACCCTAGGAAATGTGGGAGCATTAAGCCTGCACGAAGTTGTGAATTCTCCATCTTATGACGATATGGCAAGTCGAGATAGTGTTTTATCTAAGCATGCCCCAAGCCCATCAGTACAAGGACTTCTTATACATCAATGTGAGCAAGATGGTGATAGAAAACAGACTGAGACATCGGAGGACATTTCAAATTTAAAACTTACGGAACATTATAATAATGAAGCTATGGAGACACTGGACAAAATTCCATCTCCACATCAGGTCTTGGATAATGCAAAGAGCATTCATGAATCAGAGATCAGCAGTGCTGTCTTGTCTATTCAAGACAATGCTATTTCTGTGGAGATTTGTAGGTCTAGTCCTGTCAACATGTCGGAGAGTAGAAATACAGCCTCAGGTAGGAAGCCTACTTCACCAAACCCTCACACTCAACAGAAGGTGTCTATACCCTTACCGGACACACTTCAACAGCTAACTAACCCCACAGGCAAGGAGTCTGATATAATGATCAGCATTGATAATCAACGTTTGTCCACTGAGGCCAGCGACAATAGCCAGCAATCACAAGGCACAGTCGAAGTTCAGCAGTCAGACATCGGCAATCAGTCAGTGACTAACAGTAACTCAAAAAGTCAGCAAAATCCTATCCAATTTGATACATTCAAAATCAAATCGCATCAAGGTGGCTCATATTCCCAGCCTGAAAACTCCAATGGAAACAAATGTAATACAATAAACCCAACTGTTAAAAACCAAAGTCATGTCATCAACCAATCACAAAGCCCTACAACCCACCGATCACAAGACCATGTAATCAACCAATCACTAGATTACCAAAGCATTTTAAAAGTTTCACAATCGATGATGAGTTCAACTAATATATTAGAAGATGCTATGAAGCAGGTATTTTCAGCTTCAGATCAACAGCAGACATTTTTTAGTTCAGCTCCTGTCTTGACTGGTACACAATTAATGGAAAATTCATCTACAAATCACCAGGCTGTGCCTTGTAGAGGGACACCTTCCCAGGTGGTCAGTTCTCCAGCACCTGTGGTTAGTCAAAAACAGTTCATTGTATATTCTCCAGCTCCTACCCAGACAGTGCAGTCCACAGCTGCATCTACACCGGTAGTTCACTCGACTGCTCCCGTCTTGACTCATTCTCAGTTTATAGTCAACTCACCTGCTCCTGTTACACCAGCATCATTTATTGTTACGTCAACAACTTACCCAGCTACACCTATAGCCTGTCAATCACAGTTTGTCTTGAACTCACCAGCAACCCCTGTGATGGTCAAGTCCCCTGCAACTCCATTGATTGTCAATTCACCAGCTACTCCTCAAGTTGTCAACTCACCTGCTGCTGTGATGGCTACTGCCCCATACAAAAGTGTGTGTTCTCCTGCTCCACATAAAGTGCCCTCAAGGGCTCCCACACCTCAGATGGAACCTACAGACTTTATCCCTGATCGATCTGGGACAATCTACGTTACCCCAAATGTGCTGGCACAGATGTCATGTGAGAAAAGTTTGGTGGTGCAGCAGGAGAGAGCAGTCACTACCACCTCCTTGGTACCATGTTCAACGGTTGGTTCCACTGTAGACAACCGTCTGAATCATGGTATTCGAGGACCAGATGTAGGTCAATCGCCCTGTGCTCAGTATCAATCTGACCAGGATATCTTTGCAGAGACTACAGATGAGGAGGTGGCTGAACCTGCTCCAGTTCTAAAAGCACCATCAAAATTGCCCATCATCACAGAGGTCTCCCATGATATTGCCAAGATTCCCTCCCTGTTTGATACCATGGATGGACACAACCAAGTCATGACACAAGCAGAGAACACACCGCCTCCCTGTCGCACAGGAAGAGACAGTCCTCGATACTTTTCAGCATTAAGCAACAGTAATGATGATCCAGTGAGTGATCAGTCATCTAGGATGGAGACTTCTCCAAGTAGTCCTAACAGTGGAGAGTTGAAATCGCAGAATCATCCTAATAACTCAGCAAAAGCTGATATCCAAGTCTCACAAGTGAGTGACAGTGACGATGACATAGATATATTGGGGGACTGGGACCATGATTTGTCAGCAGGGGAGATAACCAAAGTTCCCATAACAGAACACACCATCAGCCATGACAGTACCTCTTTGTGTAATGTATCATGTAGTCCTAAAAAGACAGCTTGGCAAACTGGCTTTGCCACCAAGCCTTCCTCGACCACGTCAGCTTTTATCAGAAAAATTCTAGAACAGAAAAATACACAACAGTCTTCTGAAAAGAAAAGTCCTGTACGTACAGAAAGTATTTCCTTAACGACACAGACTGCTTCACAGAAGATTAGCCCGGAGTTAACAGCTAGTTCTACAGTTACTCTGTCAACACAAAACAAGCCAGTCTCTGCCGATCATCATGCCAAAGAGAAAGTTCCGAGGCGAGTTCAAGTCATTACATTAAGTAAGGAAGTGTCGAAGGTCAGTAAAGACGCTCAAAATGCTGTACAAAGTGCTCGGGGACCCTTCAAACATCCCCAGGAACTCACGCCAAGGAAATCATCACACAATAGTGGCAAACTGACAAGCCAAGTGAAACACTCCACCAGTAATGACAAGGGTTCTAGTGGTGGAGGTTCAGCTGAGAAAGACGTGCCACCCCACCACCAATATATAACTCCACCAAAAAAGAGGTTTACAGCATCACTTAAAAGTGGGGATGGATTGTACTTTGTATCCTCTGCTGCACAGCAAGGGAATGTTTCCACTAACATGAGAGACCATTCACACCAGTCGGAGAGTCACAATTCTAGTGCTAAGGTGTCACTTCCTGGACAGAGTCCTCGGAAGAATAGAAAGTCAACTTTGACCCCCAGGAAAGACATAGACTCAAGTCATGTAACCCAAGGTAATCACAGTAGAACAGAAAGTAGAGCTTCAGACACTTTATCTTGTCATGGTAGGACTTCAAGAAGTCCATCTCGTGCTCCTCATGATCAAAGAACTTCAGAAAGGAAATCACAAAGTCCATCTCATAGAAAAGCTTCAGATAGGACATCGCAAAGTCCATCTCATAGCAAAAATACAGATAGGACATCGCAAAGTCCATCTCATAGCAAAAGTACAGATAGGACATCGCGAAATCCATCTCATAGAAAAACTTCAGACAGAATACCACAAAGTCCATCTGGTCATAAAATATCAGGAAGGTCATCACAAAGCCCATCTCCACATAGAACAGTTTTCAACAGAACTACAGAAAGCCCCTCAAGAAGTAAAAATCTAGAGAGGGTTTATGCAAGTCCAAGTATAAGGCGGAAAGTGTTTGAAACCAGTGTAAATAACGACAGAAGAGTTGGTAAAAGTGAGGACAGGACCCCTCATGTGAACACAGAATATGATAAAGACAATAAAAATGTAGAGAGAGTCCACACAAGATCCTCTATAGGTCGGCCTAGTTCTTCAGCATCCCACCCCCGATCATCTGGATCAGGAACTTCCAACAAAAATACGACCCAGCGGCAGACATCCCCAACTCACAAACGAGGTCACAAACGTCACGTGGACAGTTATCAAAGTGGGGAGGTAAGTAACTGGTTTCCACTGGGAAACTACCTATAGATACTCAGATAGCTGGAAAGGTATTAAGTTACCCCAAAATGACAGATACCTTTATAGAAAATGTTGGCATGGCTTGGAGTAGAAATGAAACTTGTGACAATATGTCGTGATGCTTGTATGGGTACAATCACCTGACACTATTATCAACTTTAGAAGAAACTTGCCTGTGAGTTGGAGGCAGAGAATTATTAACTGATATGTTAAATTTAGAATGTTGCTCATTCTGTTTGATATTGAGCTAGCACAAGAGTTAATAAGGTTCATTAAAATATTTATCAACAATTCATGTGTTCCACTTCAGCTTTAATTTCACTTATCATAAAATGTTTTTGAAAATTTAATGTGCAGGGCAAATCATACAATATTTTTTGTATTTTTTTTTCAGGTCAAGACGAAAAGAGCCAAAAAGGTGAGTTAAGTCTAGATCTATAGTCCGGTCCATCGTCATCAGATTAAGAAAACCCGGAGGATTTTTCTCAAATTTCCTTTGTAGGTTTTTCTTGGTTCTCAGTTGTACAAGCTAAATGGGTGAAGAAAATGGCAACATGTGACCATGTTCGATTTGAACAATTGAGATTGTTATCTCTTTTTCTCAGAAACTGCTGAAGGGGTCTTTCTCTGTTCTTATTTGTGAATGTTTAATTTTGAGACAAATCATTAGAATGAGATGACCAGGTGGCTCTCTTTTATTCTGATGGTTTATAGGATCCTTATACAACTGCCAGAAACTGTTAACTACGTAACTTCTGAAATGAAAAGTTGCATAACTTTTAGGAAAACGTAGTAAAGGTGAGATAAAAAAAATCAATAATAGTATTCTGAGTGTAAAGTGCAAAAAGCCAAATTTTAATTTGAACCCTGGACCTCCGATCATTATACGAACCAACTGAGCTACCTGGTCAGTGATGGTACTCTGGCTCAGTCATGCTACAGTTTTAAGCTAGGTTACTATACGTTTAAAAAACTTAACTGAAGTGTTTTTCCTGCAATGGGACAAGTGTGTTAAGAAACATTTTTCACTGTTGCTCAAGAAATACTGGATGGCTTTTTCTCAACTTTATAAGTAGATTCTTCTTGTTCCTTAGTTACTTTTGTTTACTTTTGAGACCAATTTTGATTTAGTGTTGAATTACAATGTTTTGTTGTGTTTATCAGATCAAAAATACATCTAACTTTGTGTTTGATAACATAAATGTATACTGCTAAATATCTTGAATAAATTTTGATGTTGAAGCAAGGGAAGTACTATGCGAATTATTTCAACTGTTAATTCTTTTTCTGCTTAATTTGCCTAATATTTTGTTTCCTACTTTTTTCAGAGCAACACGCCAATTGATCTTACAAAACTAGATGTGGACAAGTTTCTCAACAGTGATGTGTACATCAAGGGCAGACTGGAAAAGTGATCTAGGTGTCCAACATAGCACTAACAGTCTACTGAGGGAACAAGTGATCTAGGTGTCCAACTTAGCACTAACAGTCTACTGACAGAACAAGTGATCTAGGTGTCCGATATAGCACCAACACTCTACTGAGGGAACAAGTGATCTAGGTGTCCGATATAGCACCAACACTCTACTGAGGAAACAAGTGATCTAGTGTCCCATATAGCACTAACAGTTTACTGATGGGACAAGTGATCTAGGTGTCCAACATAGCACTAACAGTCTACTTACAGAACAAGTGATCTAGGTGTCCAACATAGCACTAACAGTTTACTGATGGGACAAGTGATCTAGGTGTCCAACATAGCACTAACAGTCTACTGACAGAACAAGTGATCTAGGTGTCCAACATAGCACTAACGGTTTACTGATGGGACAAATTTCCGAGGTGACAACTAACTGGAATAGGACCAGCATATTATAACAAATGATACTGCCCGGAGAATACAGATGACTTTGGGTATATTGGTGGTCAGTGTAATAGGCAGTATTGTAAGTCATTGTGATATTATAGAAGTATACATGTACATTTTGTAGTGATATTGTGTTTCATTGTGTACCTGTATAACATTGTATATGTGGTAAAGTACATTTTGTACCTGTAGTGTACCTGTATGGCATTGTATATGTGGTGCATGCACATTTTGTACCTGTACTGAGTATACATGTACATTTTGTAGTGATATTGTGTTTCATTGTGTTCCTGTATAACATTGTATATGTGGTAAATGTACATTTTGTACCTGTACTGAGTATACATGTACATTTTGTAGTGATATTGTGTTGCATTGTGTACCTGTATAACATTGTACATGTGGTAAAGTACATTTTGTACCTGTAGTGTACGTGTATGGCATTGTATATGTGGTGCATGCACATTTTGTACCTGTACTGAGTATACATGTACATTTTGTAGTGATATTGTGTTTCATTGTGTTCCTGTATAACATTGTATATATGGTAAATGTACATTTTGTACCTGTAGTGTACGTGTATGGCATTGTATATGTGGTGCATGTACATTTTGTACCTGTACTGTACCTGTATAAAATTGTATATGTGGTACATGTACATTTTGTACCTGTATGGCATTGTAAATGTGGTATGCCTACATTTGTACCTATACTGCACCTGTATAACATTGTATATGTGGTCAATGTACATTTTGTCCCTGTAGTGTACCTGTATGGCATTGTAAATGTGGTATGTTTGCATTTTGTACCTGTACTGTACCTGTATAAAATTGTATATGTGGTACATGTACATTTTGTACCTGTAGCGTACCTGTATGGCATTGTAGATGTGGTACATGTACATTTTGTCCCTGTACTGTACCTGTATGGCGTTGTAAATGTGGTATGTTTGCATTTTGTACCTGTACTGTACCTGTATAAAATTGTATATGTGGTACATGTACAATTGTACCTATACTGTACATGTATAACATTGTATATGTGGTCAATGTACATTTTGTCCCTGTACTGTACCTGTATGGCATTGTATATGTGGTGCATGCACATTTTGTACCTGTACTGAGTATACATGTACATTTTGTAGTGATATTGTGTTGCATTGTGTACCTGTATAACATTGTACATGTGGTAAAGTACATTTTGTACCTGTAGTGTATCTGTATGGCATTGTATATGTGGTGCATGCACATTTTGTACCTGTACTGAGTATACATGTACATTTTGTAGTGATATTGTGTTTCATTGTGGACCTGTATAACATTGTATATGTGGTAAAGTACATTTTGTACCTGTAGCGTACCTGTATGGCATTGTAAATGAGGTATGTGTACATTTGTTCCTATACTGTATCTGTATAACATTTTATATGTGGTACATGTCCATTTTGTACCTGTACTGTACCTGTATTACATTGTATATGTGGTACATGTACATTTGTACCTATACTGTACATGTATAACATTGTATATGTGGTACATGTACATTTTGTACCTGTACTGTACCTGTATAAAATTGTATATGTGGTACATGTACATTTTGTACCGGTACTGTACCTGTATAACATTGTGTATGTGGTACATGTACATTTTGTACCTGTATGGCATTGTATATGTGGTACATGTACATTTTGTACCGGTACTGTACCTGTATAAAATTGTATATGTGGTACATGTACATTTTGTACTTGTACTGTACCTGTATAACATTGTATATGTGGTACGTGTACATTTTGTACCTGTACTGTACCTGTATGTCATTGTAAATGTGGTATGTGTACATTTGTACCTATACTGCACCTGTATAACATTGTGTATGTGGTACATGTACATTTTGTACCTGTATTACATTGTATATGTGGTACATGTACATTTTGTACCTGTACTGTACCTGTATGTCATTGTATATGTGGTACATGTACATTTTGTACCTGTACTGTACCTGTATGACATTGTATATGTGGTACATGTACATTTTGTACTTGTACTGTACGTGTATAACATTGTATATGTGGTACGTGTACATTTTGGACCTGTACTGTACCTGTATGGCATTGTATATGTGGTACATGTACATTTTGTATCATTGCTGTACTTGTATGTCATTGTATAAGTGGTACATTGTACATGTACATTTTGTATCAGACTGTACCGGTATGGCATTGTGATATTTGATTTTGACAGGTCTATAATTTATTCATTAAATATCAACCCGATATGAACAAAATATAGAAACATCAGGATGTATAATATAACCGCCAGTTCTTTACTAGTCTGAAGTTCATATTTTTAAAATTGAAGGAGTAGAACTATAATTCAAGTCTTCTGGATAGAGTGTTGTACAAATGTAAATATTGTAAAGGAGCTGTCAAAGGTACTGTTTGGTTTGATGGGAGATGGGGCACTCCTGTATTCCATTGATATGTATGTGCAATTATTTATCTTGTTCTTTTATTTATTTTAGTTTTTGCTTGTGATTTCCCTTTACTGAAAAAGACATTTCCCAGGAAGGCATTTGTTGCTGATATGTGAACTTGTTTGATTTAGATCTATTAGACATGTTCACGTATAAAGTAATCATCTTTCTACGTCTGTATCTTTTTCACCAGTCATGTAGCAAATGATTTAATTAATTGATTATGCCCCACTTATAATGAGAGAGATATGGTACAGGTAGTGTTAAAGGTTCCTCTAATAGCATCTTTATCTGTGCTGTTACTTTCAAACAGAAAGAATATAACTTGTTAAACTTGAAGTATACCTGCTTCACCTAGTTAATTAAACTTGAAGTAAACCTGCATCACTGAGTTAATTAAACTTGAAGTATACCTGTGTCACTTAGTTAACCCCTAGTCAAAGGTCAAACAAGAGCAAAATTTCAGTGTAATCTTAATCAATGTGTCAATTTTAAACCATAGAAGATATCTTAATTGGGCATGAAGGATATCTGCAACATCCACAAAAGGTGTATATGTGGAGTGCACTTTTTTTTAAGGACACGTCCCTAGATGTGAAGCAGTCAGTGTATATTGCTCTATCCATCTCAAATTTTGTAAGCATGGTTTATCAGGATTGGCTCAAAAGATCCTGACTAAATACTTGAAATATATGACTATTCATTTTAAACGTTATCAGTGGATTTTGACTAGTGTTCATCTTCAAGTACCAGTAACTCGGTTTTTATCACATTTTGGAGGTCACTTGACCAGACTTAAATTGTTGGTACCCAATACAGTGCTAAGAGTCTGACTAGATTTCAAAGTTAACATGCTTGCTTTCTCAGGTTGTTGCTACATATCAGGTACAATTACCAGGTTATATCAAAAATGCTTAAAAACGTACACACACACACAGATAGTTATGGATCTAAAAGTGTATTACTTCCCTTTCTAAGAAATGCTGGTAATCATTTCAAATTTGTGATGATTAATATATAAAATCTGGACTTTGAAGTGATTCTTAAAAAATGCTTGTGACAGGATTTTTTAGTAGAATTTGGATGATAGCCAGCAATAATATCAAAACTAATTTTATACATAAGAAGTTCTTACATTTATGGGGAAAAAATATAACTTGGGACTTGTTAATATAGAAAACACTCTTTTTAAAAATGGTAAAGACAAAGTGTTCAAGGTCATAGGGTCATATATGTGTAAGATCTAGGTCTGTTTATGGAAGTCAATGTTTAAATGTCAAGGTCAGAGGGTCAGTTGTAGTTTCATTGATATGAAAGTCTTTGTGAATAGGTATATGGTAAAGGTGAAGATCACTGGCATCAATATGTGATGTGGGTGACAGAATTTGAATGAAAAAAGCCCACTCTCAGTGCTGATGAATTCTCAGGTTCTCAGTAGTTTGGTTTAGCTAGACCATATAGTTAATCAATTACTAGGGGTAACATTTTTAATTGTCTAATGTATTTCAAAGAAAATTAAATAGATATAGCATATAGGTTTTTACTTTTATGACAATGCTATTCTAAGCTTGCTCTTCAAGACTTTTTTATCTATAATTTGGTTGTAGTGTTTTACCTCCTCTTATACAGTACTTGGTTTGCACTTAATATTTATAGAAAATGCTAAAAATATCAAAATTGAACTAAGACCTTATAGATTATATAATTTTCTGAATCATGCTTAATATTTCTCAATTGTGATCATTAAACAAATGTATAATGATATGTATGTGTTTTTGTTTTACCTGGTCACATTGTTGCTTTATGCATACAATCTGCTCATGGTTACAGTTATTTAGTAAATTATACTATATAGGCTTAATGTCAACTTACGCTAGAAGAGTTGACAGTTCCTGTCTTTATACAAGTAATGTCACATAACAAAATGATATTAATCTTTACCATATGGGTTTAATGCTAGTGCTGTTCAATCCACAAAATGTCACATTACATGACACTGTTTACTTCTATTCAATGTACGGTTATTGAAATTATGTTGAACGCACAAATTCTAGCTTATCCATATTGTCCTAGGCCTGAAAATTTCTGTTCTTATGTCAGGATCCATCTTGAAGTGACTGCTAATGATTCTTATTGTAACATCAGTAGGTGTGGTGTTCTCTAAAGACACCATGTCAAGTGTAACATCAGTAGGTGTGGTGTTCTCTAAAGACACCACGTCAAGTGTAACATCAGTAAGTGTGGTGTTCTCTAAAGACACCACGTCAAGTGTAACATCAGTAGGTGTGGTGTTCTCTAAAGACACCACGTCAAGTGTAACATCAGTGGGTGTGGTGTTCTCTAAAGACACCACGTCAAGTGTAACATCAGTAGGTGTGGTGTTCTCTAAAGACACCACGTCAAGTGTAACATCAGTAGGTGTGGTGTTCTCTAAAGACACCACGTCAAGTGTAACATCAGTAGGTGTGGTGTTCTCTAAAGACACCACGTCAAGTGTAACATCAGTAGGTGTGGTGTTCTCTAAAGACACCACGTCAAGTGTAACATCAGTAGGTGTGGTGTTCTCTAAAGACACCACGTCAAGTGTAACATCAGTAGGTGTGGTGTTCTCTAAAGACACCACGTCAAGTGTAACATCAGTAGGTGTGGTGTTCTCTAAAGACACCACGTCAAGTGTAACATCAGTAGGTGTGGTGTT